TTTTAAAGAATTATTTTTTATTTAACTTTATTTATTATTATTATTATTTTCCAGTTTGATCAGAGAGAGAGAGAAGGAAAGTGAGAAAGGAAGCTACCAGGTCCAGGACTTGAACCGCAGTGGGCCATGTGGGAGTCCAGCGCTTTTAACCACCATACCACCTACTGGCCCCTTGTTTTTTGGTTTTGCTGTAGGGCATGTATACTCACCAGAGAGAGGAAGAGAGAGTGAGAAATCACCCCCCTCCTGGGCTAATGGCCACGCTGCAGTCCCTTCTCTTCCATTCTCCTTGGGACTCTGGGTATGCATGCATGGAATTTTTCAGGCCACTGGGTCCAGGACCGCGTTACAAAGTCAGCCACATAGACTCCAGCACCCCCCCCCCCTGCCGTAACCTCCACGCCACTGGCTAGCCCATTTGCCAGTTCCAAGAATTATCATTACTTATGTCTCCCATGAATGAGAAAGCGTGACGGCACCCCCAGGTGCTGATGCCGTGACCCACCCTCCTTCCTAGTGAGCCCCAGATCGTGGGCACCTGCGTGCCTCTGGACAGGAACCCCAAGCCTTCTCATGGGGGTCAGCCCCCCAGAGTGTCACGTTTTATCACTGCCACCGTCTGGCGCAGTCTGCAGCTTCATCTTTTTAATCACTAACGACGACGTTAGGGATTCCTTTGGTAAATAGCCAGCGGTATTCCAGATTTCAGTTCCATTTGTTGGAGGTACTGATTATCACCATAGGATTCCTGAAAACCCCGGGTAGGGGATGGTGGCACGGCAGTAAAGTGCAGTTCTCTGGCAGGCTGGCCGACAGGAAGATTCTGGGTCTGCGGTGAGAAGCCTCCTGGGTATGCCGGGCACATGCATGCCTGTGAGGCCGGGGTGGCTGGCAGCATCGAGACCCTGCTGAGGGCGAAGTCTCTCTCTCTCTCGCTCTCTCTCGCTCTCGCTCTCACTCATGGAAGAAATAAACAAACTTAAAAGACTTTTGAAATTTTTGAAGATAATAAAAACAAAAGCCCAGTAGTTTGAACCACTGCAGTGAACGCCATGACAGGCAGAAATCACCAGTGGATGCTAACACTAGAAAATGAAAGTGTAATGAGAAACAGGACGCATACTCAATCTCAAAGCATCTTCCCAGGGGACCAGCAGGTGGTGTAGTGGTTAAGGTGCTAGGCTCCCACGTGGTCGGCTGCGGTTTGAGTCCCTGAGCCAGCGACTTGAAACTCATGTCGGCCACATGGGCGTACATGCCCAGAATCCCGAGAGGAGAATGGAGGAGAAGGGATTGCATCGTGACCAACCCCCCAGGGAGTGATTTCTCGCTTTCTGTGTCTCCGTCTCGCTCTGTCTCTCCAGCGAGCGTGTGGTCCCGATAGCAAAAATCTCAAAAAAATAAAGATAAAAAAGTGTCTTCCCAGAAGATACTGATGAATTACCAAGGAAAAACGAGGAATGTTACGGCGGAGAGAGCTGGCAGATAAGTGACTGAAGTTGGCCACACCAGTAATAGGACGCGTCTCTGTCATGTGCCCTCTGCTGTGGCACCCTGAGGACGTGGCGTCACACCTGTGTACTCTTGCCCAGACCTGAATCTGGTCACGAGCAGACAACGCTCGACCCAAACCGAGAGCTCAGGAAATCACTGCCAGTCCTCAGCAGTGTCAGGATCGTATATTTTAGACACGCACACACACACACGCACACGCACACACACACGGGAGACAGAGAAATAATGGATGATAAAACGTGTCTAGCTGCTCCTTGATTTATGATAGGGTTCCATCCTGATAAACCCATTTTGAAATCTGAAATTCCCAAGTCAGGCTGCCATAAACTCGGGTGTTGTCTGTGTAGTCAAATGTTCACATTTCGGGAATTTGGATGAAGGGCACATGGGGAGTCTTTGTTTTATTTTTGCAACTTTTAATAAGTCTAAAATTACTTCAAAGTAGAAGTTAGAGGGGCTGGGAGGTGGCATGGTGGTTAAAGGCACTGAACTCCCACATGGCCGACTGCAGTTCAAGTCCTGGACCTGGCAGGTTGCTTTCTCACATTCCCTCTTTCTCTCGCTCTGGCTCTATCCCTCTCTGATCAAATTAAAATAAATAAATAAATAAATAAATAAAGTTAAATTAAATAATTATTAAAAAGAAAATAGAAGTTAGAAAAAGCTAACTTTTGGGACCAGCAGTTAGTGTAATGGTTATGTCACTGGACTCCCATGTAGTCGACTGCAGTTTGAGTCCTGGACCTGGTGACTTAAAACTCAACGCCGGGCGCGTGTGCATGTGTGCCCAAGATCCCGAGAGGAGAATGGAGGAGAAGGGATTGCGGTGTGCCATCCCCCCTGGGGGGTGATTTCTCGCTTTCTGTCTCTCTCTCTCTGTCTTTCTGGCAAGTGCATGTGCCCTATAGCAAAAACCTCTCAAAAAAAAAAAAATAAAAAGCTAACTTTTTTCCCAATAAAAATTATTGGTACGGGAACAGATAAACTATATGTGGGGCCGTGGATGACGTAATGTTCAAGGCACTGCATCCTATATAGACAACTCCACAGTTCAAGCCCTTGACCTGGCAGCTTGAAAATCATGCCAGGAGCATGTGCGTGCGCCCCCAGAGCCCCAGGAGAATGGAAGAGGAGGGATTGTGTTGTAGCCAACTACCCTGCGGGGGTGGGGGATAGGGTATGATTTCTTACTTTCCCTCTCTCTGTCTCTCTCTGTCTCTCTCTGTCTGTCTCTGTCTCTCTCTCAGTTGAATGCATGTGCCCTATAGCAGAAACCTAATAAATAAGCTATATGTACTAGCTGAGGAGAGGTGGGCAAATAAATCTAAATTGTCTTCATAGAATCGTAACCTCAAAAATCTGTGTGCCTTGGTTGATATCCAACAGAAATGACTGCTCGTGTTCTCCTGTAAACATGTACGAGAATATTCATAGCGGGTTTATTCATAATACTCTGAAACAAGAAATAACCCGGATGTCCAACTGTGGGAGAATGGGTTTGTGAGTTGTGACGTGGTGAGAGACTACGTAGTGATGAAACTGAACAAACAACACACGTGCCTGACGTTGAGCAAAACAATCAGATGTTAAAAAGTACAAGTTGTAGATTTTTTTAAAAGATTATTATTTTATTGTATTTTACTCACTATCATCCCCTTTTAATTTGACTAGAGAGAGAGAGAGAGAGAGAAGGAGTGGGCAGTGAGAAAGCAAGCTGCCAGGTCCAGGACTTGAACCATGGTCAGCCACGTGGGAGTCCAGTGCTTTAGCCACCACTCCGCCTGCCAGTCCCAAATTGTAGATTATTTTTAATTCTCCAAAGGCGAGTGCTTTCGTCAGCAAGATGCAGGCAGAGAGAGAGAAAAGGGAAAAGTACCCCCAATGGGGTGCAGTCTCTTCTCTGTCAGGATTTTGAGTATGCTTACACACCGCGCCTGGCATTTTCAAGCCTCCAGAGCCAGGATTGGAACTATGGTTGACTGTGTGGATCCTGGCTCTCTGAACCCCATACATGAGGCCACCCAATGTATGACTTTATAAATATCAATTCAAGAATAGGCAACATAATGATGGCAATAAGGGTAGCAGTTACTTATTTCTGTGTGTGTGTGTGTGTCTGTGTATGCACATGAGTGGTTTTCAAAAAGTTGATAGAAAATAGGGACCAGCAGTTAGCATAATGGCTATGTCGCTGGACTCCCACATAGTCGACCACGGTTCAAGTCCTGGACCCTGTGGCTTAAACTCATGCCGGGCGCGTGTGTGTGTGTGTGCCCAAGATCCCGAGAGGAGAAGGGACGAGAAGGGATTGTGGCATGGCCATCCCCCCTGGGGGGTGATTTCTCACTTTCTGTCTCTATGTCTCTCTCTGTCTGGCGAGTGCACGTGCCCTATAGCAAAAACCTCTCAAAAAAAAAAAAAAAAAAAAAAAAAAGAAAGAAAAAGAAAAGAAAAGAAAGAAAAGTTGATAGAAAATGTCCATTATGAAGAAACTGTGCATGGGGGCTGGCAGGTGGCATGATAGTTAAGGGCACTGGACTCCCATGTGGCCGACTGCGGCTCAAGTTCCGGATCTGGAGGCTTGCTTTCTCACTTTCCCTCTCTCTCTCACTCTCCTTCTCTGGTCAAGTTAAAATAAATAAAGTTAAATAAAATAATTCTTAAAAAAAAAAAAAAAAGAAGGGAAAAAAAACAAGCATAGCTTTCAAAAATTTTTGCACTAAAATAAACTCATACTTTAATCCCATTTTTCTGTGAGGTTTATGAAATCATCCTATGTATGTATATGCACACACATATAGTAGATATACACATATAAGAATGTAAACATTTGTCTGGTTGAACTCTTAAGATTTATACACTTAAATTGTACATCGGTAAAAAGTAAGTAAAACTATAACTTGTGTGAATTGCAGAGTCAAATGTGAAATATAAAATAAAGACAAATTCTCAGGCCAATCCCATGGCCTAGGAGCCAGATCCCATATGGCTGATTGTGGTTTGAGGGTCAGCCTGGCAGTTTGATACACATTGCGGGCATGTATGTACGTGTGCCCAGAAGTCCCAGCAGGTGGAGAAGTGTTGGACAGATTGCTGTGTGACCGTGCTCCGTTTCAGGAGTTTCTCCCTCTTCCTCCCTTTGTCTCTCTCTGATGAGTATATGTGCTCTCTGGCGATTAAAAAAAAAGAGTCACGCAGATTGAAATTACAACCAAAAAATCACCACACATCTGGTAGAACTGTAAACGTTTAAAAGATTGGCAGTCTTGGAGCTGGTTGTGTGGTGTGGTGGTTAAGGTGCTTGACTCCCACATGGCTGATGGCGGTTCAAATTCCAACTTGGTGGCTTGATTTCTCACTTTCTTTCTCTCTATGTCTCTGGTGAGTGTGTGTGCCCAATTGCAAATATAAAAAATATAATAATAATAATAAATAAAAATATAATAATAAAATTAAATAAATCTTTTTAAAAAAGTCATCAATTTCAAGTATTGGCAAGGATGGAACAAGAATTCTGTTAGGTGACTTGTAGGAGGATAAATTCCTTCTACTCCTTTGAAACTGGCCTTATCTACTGTCGCCGGACTTTGCTGTTCCCTGTGACCCATCGGTTTGGCAGCAGGTGCGTTCCCAGCGGGACTGCGTGTGATTTGCGTGTGTGTGTAAAAAGCTGGCAAGACAGTGTTTCTCAAAACATTCATAGTAGTAAAAAACTGGCAACAATGGAGATGTCCGTTATTAGTGGAACAACTAAGTTGATATTATACAATAAAATACTACAGAACAATGAAAATGGACATTTATAAGCATTAACATTAAGCCACAGAAGCCAGACAGAAAAGAATTTATACCGTGTGGTTCTATTTATGCAATATTCTTTAAATAGACAAAACAAGTCCGTGTGTTAACGTCTTACCTTTGGGGCCATGGGGGGGCCCAGTTGGGAGGGAGAGAGCATGGGGGACTCTGGGGCGCTCGTAATGGGCAACACACATTTTTACTTGAGTAATGGTTGCCTCAATGACCTTTTTGTGAAAATTCACTGGGCTCTATTATTTTAATTTGACTAGCGAGAGAGACACAGAGAGAGAGGGAAAGTGAGAAAGCGAGCCACCAAATCCAGGACTCGAACAGTGGTTGGCCATGTGGGAGTGTCCAGCGCCCTAACCACCATGCCACCTGCTGGCCCCTGGGCTGTGTTCTTACTCCAGTACCTTTTTCTGCAGTATGCTGATGAACTCCACCCATGCTCAGCGTGTGTGGTATGTGGCATGTTAACGGACAGTAGCCCAGCACCTGGACACAGGGCTTCGTCTGTGCGCTGCCGTGACTCGGAGAGGACAGACACGTCAGTGTGGTAGGTACGTGAAGCCTCGTGAGGGTGACGAGGGGGCTGGTTCTCAGTCAGCGGTGACACATTCTCCTCTGATGCCCCTGCTACGCTCCCCCTGGAGCAGCACACCAGGCTGCTGGCGTCGCAGCCAAAACGGGAACAGCAGAGCCGTCAAGCCCAGAGTGGAACAAAAGCTGAGATTGTGTTTCCTGAGTGGAGTGGGCTCCGCACTGTTGGGATGACACAGAAAGCGCTTGTGCTCAGAAAAGTAACTGATCTAAAAGGGAGAAAATAGACTTCCCCCACCCCCAGCCCGTCGCAGGCAGCTTTTGCTGCATGGAATTGGTCTCGGCGCATCAGCAATTCTGCTGCTTTTTATGTTTTATCATCTCTGTGGGCTTCTGAACGCGGAGTCGTCTGCTTACTTTAGTTGGTAAAAGTTTTCTTGTCTTTGGCAAATGTGCCAGACTCATTTGGTACTTTAAGATCTTGGTAAACATATTGATACTTTAAGAACCCCAAGGAAAAGTTTATTTTTTATTTACTTAAAATTATTTTTAAAGAATTATTTATCTAACTTTATTTTTTATTATTATTATTACAATTTTTATTTTAAATTTGACCAGAGAGAG